CAATCCCTTTTCATAGACTATATCTTATGACGTACCGGTTTTGGGCATGTTATACACAATAGTAGAAACCCTAGCCAATCGCTGGAATGAACGAGCAGTAGAGTGGGGTTTGGGGTCGAGCACCGCATGGCACCGGCACCGCATGTTGGTGAACTCTCATTTCCCTACTACTTTTAATGCGTGCTTTTTCCAGTTATAAGAAATTTACTATAAAAATTCAAAATTCGACTTCGTTGAGCTGTACTTGCAAGTGTGATTAGAAATAAACACTTGGCCTTCAGAGCTAGAGGTCCACGGTTCAGTTTTTTATCATCAATGAGAGGACATAGAGATAAAGCTGACGTCAACGAGCGCGTGTTCTTTCCGTTGGTCGTTTTGATCGCTAAAAATGAGAAGTTTTCATTTTTTTTTATTGTAAAAAACAAATAGACGTGGATCCGCACACTACTTTGGCAATGTAATGACGCAATTTATAGTAAACACATAAGAAACTGATGTCTATTTGTTAAATTTAGCTTTACCTTTTATTAACCTTTTTAATAAACACTTTTTTCATTCAATTAATAGAAACAATAAAATATTTATAGTAGATACAGTTTTAGAAGCACATACAATTTTTCTCTATTTTTAGTTAATATGGAATTAGCCATTGGTATATCCAATAGCAGCGCAGTGCCAGACAACAGAATGTCGGCAAGTTCTATTTATAGTATCACGAGGACTGCAGCCAAAGCTAGGCTCCTTGGCAATTATTCATGGAGACCACGTGACGATGATACCAACCCATGGTTACAAATAGACCTTGGAGAGATTTACTACGTGTGTGCTGTGGCTACACAAGGTGACCCGAACGGTAACGAGAGGACAATAAAGTACAAAGTTGAAGGATCTATAGATGATCAACAATGGATGCCTGTAGAAAACAAAACTTTGGAAAAGGAAATGGTATATCAATTGAGGGAAATATATATATAATATACAATTGCTGATTGATCAACTTAAAACGCTATGAAAAAAACAGTCTACAACTTTATTGTCCGTCGTCTTTGCGATCGGAAATCATTACATGTCCATATATATTGTTAAACATAGAGTTTGTGAGGTTTTGAGCATCAGCGGATTTGTGGCACTCTATGTTTAGGATTTGTGGCATTTTCAAAGATCGGACTGGGAAGGAGGGAGAGGATAGAAACTCTACTCTTTGGTTCTTTTTTAACTTTATTTCTCGATGTGTTCAGGTTTTTACTGGTAACCAAAATAATTCAACAAGTATCATCAAGCATTCCTTGCCAAGTCCTCTGACAGCTAGATTTGTACGGTTCTATCCTGTAGAAAAGATTGAAGCACACGCCCTTAGAGTGGAAATATATGGTGTTACCAAAGTACCAGGTACGCATCTCAATTGTCTTGTTAAGAAGGCAGATGTAAATTCTGAGTTGATGTTTGGGGGGTGGGGTGGGATTATAGGAATAACTTCAGAAACAGAAGAACTGTAGATGACTGCACACTCGATACAGAAATCTCAAGTTATAAAATAGAAGCTTGTCAAACTTATAAGCAAACATATTAAAGCGTTTTTTTTGTTAGCTTCACCGATACCACCACCGATAGGGAACAAAGAACTGCATCCCAGTCACGGTTCGCATGCAGACTTGGTGTGCAGATCAGAAAGAGGACTGAGCATCAAATGGTACCATAACGATACAGACATTACAAGTTACTCTAACGGTACAGTAAGAACAGGATCAATACTCATATCAACACTACGTGTAAACTACACATCAGCTGAGGATGTTTATGACAAATATTCTTGTGACGCAACGAAAATGTACTGTACCAGTTTGGACTACATTTGCCAAGTCGATTATGGTTCATACAGAAAACTGCAGAGCAGAGGAAGAGTTAAGGTCAGGCTTGGCATGGAGGTTGGTAAGTATTGGATGATAGCCAACTCGGCCCAGTTTTTT